AATTTAAAACAGTTTTCCATGTTAGATACTCTGATCTAAACACGCGGGATGTTGAGAGAACACGAGAGAAGCGTAGCCGCGTAGCGGAGTGGTTTGCAGCTTTTCGAGTGTTCTCTCAACATCCCGCGTGTTTAGATCAGAGTATCTAACATGGAAAACTGTTTTAAAACGTTTTTTTTTTTTTAATAACAAGCTTTTAAAATAGCGAAAAATAGTGTAATATCTCTCGTATGAAAGCACAAATTCTCCTTACACTACGAGTTTACAAAACTGACCAATCACAAAAAGGCTTATAAAGCATGATTGTCAACAATTTCGAGTTTGTTTCGTTTTTTTGAGCTTTGCAAGTGAAAAAATAGACGCTCGATAAGCGCATGTGGCTGTACTGCAGAATTGCGAAACTGGGGTTTAGTTCATTTATTTTTACTGGAATGCTTTAACAAACATGTTTTTTCGTCCGCGTTGAGGGGTATACTCAGGATTTTCTCCGAGGTATGCACTGCTGTTTTATTGCTTTTGTATATGTATATACACCTACTTGCAAGAAGGTTGTCATAAGAAAAAAGAGAAGATCACTGAAGGCGAACTCATTCTTTTGTATTCAGAATTCAGCTTCATTGATCTTCTTTTGCCTTTTAATTTAGTTTTTCACTAAATTACTTATGTCGTGTTTTTCTATGACAACGTTTTTGCAAGTAGGTATATATATTTATTGATTTCCCTCCACTTTTCTGGAACGCATGTGCGTAGTGGCATACAACTAGGTACACTACTGTAGTTGTCGTTTTCATATTATGGCTCGCCCTGGCACCAGTTTCCTGTCGTTGTGTTTGGTAGTTTTCGGCCGGGCTGGGAGCTGAATGTTTTGGAGGGAGACGTCAAAAGAGCTGTTTTGAGTGTTCCCAAGTTTCGTTGAAAATGTCCAAATATTTTTTTCTGTTTGTTGTGGTCGCTACATCTTTTTTTTTTTGGACGGGCAGAGTGTAATAGTGCCAGCTTTATATTGAGAAACCTGTAGAATGTAGAACGAAGCAGACCATTTAACGTATATATACACAATTTATTAAAATAAGAAGTTCAAGGTATTTTACAACTTCTTCCTTTGTTAATGAGGGGTTATCAGGTTGCGTAACATTTTAAAATTTAATCAAACATAAACGAAAAATAATATTCGAAAAGAACATGCSAAAATTAGTAAAAGAGGCTCAATTATCCTCCGAAGAGGCTCAATTATCCTCCGAAGAGGCTCAATTATCCTCCAAAGAGGATCAATCATCCTCCGAAGAGGCTTTTAGAGCTCTCCGTCTTAGCGGCATAAGGATCAGTTCGGCAAATGATATGCCACCATTGTTTTATATCTATTATTGTCTTTGTATGTAAGTTGCATGGAATAAAGAGAAAAGGTAAATATCGCCGTGAGAGGAACCAATAAATCAGGCACTCTGCACAGTATAAGTACTATGCAACCAAGAATCATTCATTTAATACATTAAATCGATCTGTTTCCTTAGTTTTTTCACACACATCATAGTCACCGGCGTTTCTATAAGTCTTGGAGAAATATACTTTTTTAAAACTTGAACAGGGTTTTGTTAAGCGCGATAATTATCATTAACATAAGATGATATTTTTATATTTGATAATCCGTGGAACTATAATTTTATTTGTTGCTTTTTTTATTTGTTTTTAATTACTTTATCGTCCCAGTCTTTTCTAAAGTAAGCGCCTTCTATTTGTAAGGAATGCACATGTTTGGATGACGATGGGCAGGAATGGTCTTCTGTGGCGAAAAAACCGTGGAGATGGAACCATAAACCTTGAGGAATCCTATTGAGTGTTTAACCTTCACCCTTATTCTTCTCAACTCCCTATTTGCTGCTCTTTCTCTTCTGTTTCGAGCATTGCGGATTGGTTTTAGGATTGGTTCTCTTGGGGGTAAGCACCGTCTGCTGCCAGGCGACTACGGCGAGGGAGTCGTAGCACACCATTTGGCCCAACCGATGGAATGAGACTATAGGTCTGAGCGTCATTTAAATGCCCAGGAAATCTGATTAGATACAAAAAACTATTAGACACAAAAAATAATGACATGTAAGATGATAATGAAAGGCATAAATCTACACATAAAGCAGCGAAGCAGCATGAATACCGAAATGATCTACCATATCACTTCGAATGAACGGATTTGTTGACTTACCCACTCGCTATCAATACAATCATTCCATTTGCATCAATGATTACTTGCGAAGACATGAAATGTCGCTTTTTATCTCCTCGGTAAAACTCTCTCTGTAACCCGCCGCTTGGTCTTTGTATTGGGTGAATTGTGCCGTCTATAATTCCTACGATATTTGGAAATTTTGGCCATGTATTTACAAAGTTTGTCCATCGAACCAAATTAGACCAGGTGACCAAATGTCGATATTCTAAAAACAATATTGGCACGATATGGTAAACCTCTTCAAAAACAGTCGTCTTGCTAACACTAAAAAAAGCAGTCAGCTCCCTGTACTTGGGGTACGCTCTTAACCACATTAATACAAGCAGCAATCTATTTTTTACAGTTAATAAACATCGGCGCCTAAGAGCTGTTAGTGGCTGGTGTGATACACATCTAGGAACACCCACTTCCACTGATACACATTGAAACATTCGTTCAAAGCTTTCGACATTCTCTTCTGATGCATACCACAAAAGCTGGGTTTTGTTAATGGAATCGTAGATATCCCTGCACTGGTTTCTAACAGGCATAAAACGAGGAAACAGCTATTGCAAAAGAGTTGGCCTTCCACTGAGCCGAAGTATTCCAATAACAGTCAAGAACTGTAATATCCACGCTGGAAAAGGTGGTGGGATTGGAACGATGTTTGCATTAGACAAACACAGTCTGAGATTTATGACAATTATCAAGAATTGCACAAGGAAAAAAGGAATGGCGGTGGAGGAGTATTCCTACGAGGCATTGCTGCATCAGTAACTGATCTGTAGATGATGCAATGTTGATTTGTACAACCAAATATGACAGAAATACCAACGGAAATCGCTCTTTYCATTGTCAGAAAGGTTTTCGTGTTAATTTTGCTCGTAAGATCGCGCCGTGTTTTTTTCTATAGCAGCATTGCATTGCATCCAATAACTTGTGAGATCGTGTTTTTCTTTTGTATGTTCCGCGTATTAGCAGCATTGCACGCACTTTGAATCTATAAATTTTTCTACACTGCATGCAATAACTTGTGAGATCGTGTTTTTGCACTAATTTTGCACTCATAATACCGCTACAGCTATATAAAGCCCTTGTTTTCGAACTTGACACTTCAGTATTATCACAATGCAGCCGGAGAAATACCGCTACAACACTGATGATGTTTTCCCGAGAGCGGCCATGACAGAAGAAGTACACGTACCAAGTCCTGTTCCACGAGTTACCCCCAACTGCCACTTCTAATTCTTTGGCCAGCTCACCAGCCACTGTGAAGCAACGGCAAAATTTCAAAAGAGTAAGGTTTTCGGATGCTGAAGATTTACTAATAGAAAGAACATTTCAAACGCACCAAAAGGATTACCGGGCCACAGTTATCTTCATAAAGAGACATTTAGAAATGCTCCCTAAAGACGCAAGAAAATACTACGAAGCAAGTAGCGAGTCCAAACAGAAGGAAAAACTTGCAGAAGAAGGAGTCAGAAAAGAATTAATTCGAAACTTTTGAAGATTGTAAGGGTGATCTTATTTCTTCTCAAATTTGTGATATATTTTTTATCCTTATCCTAACCTCTAAATTCATTATGTACCGAGTTAAATTTGTTGTTACGATAACTGAAAAATCATGTTTTGGTTCTTGTTCATTTTTAAGTTCTGTCGATAGTGCTCAACCAACTAGCATCTTGGAAGAGTTTTCGAGTGAAAAGAGTTCAGATGAGGCAGAGGAGAGTGCCAAAAGTGACCAAACAGCGGAAGAACGCGACAGGCAAAACAGGTATCTTCCCTTGGCAAACTGCAACAGCCCAACTGAAGTGATTTCATCACTGAGAAACAAACATCTTGCTGAACGTGAAGATGGGTTGTATCATGATGACGCTAGTAAAAAGGTTTCTTGAAAGCCTTCTCGAAAAAAGTATAAGATGTGATTTTAGGCAAATCCCTTGTAAAAAAGTTGCCAATAACTTTGTCCTAAAACTTTGTGTGAGCATCAACTATGCCATATGGTTTCTTAAAAAGCGGAGGGTCACTATTCTTGTTTAATAACATCGCAAAATGATCAAAAACTGACACTCTTTCGCGTTTTTTTTTTTTCTTTGTCAAGAAAAGGTAAAAAAGTTATTTGCTTGTGCACATGTTTTTTCTTCAGTTTATGGGGAAAAACTTTACGAGTTTCATGCTTTTTGTTTTAAAAATGCGCGGAGTAAAACAAGGGAATTATCTTAACAAACTTAAGAGTAGCTACTTCGTACTCACACTCGGCTACATACTTTGAGTGATTAACGAAATGTCAAAATCCACATACATAACTTGCATAGCCTCTCATTAATTGGGTATTTGTCCAATTGGTCTTTAACTTTGACCATATCAAAAGTTGATAAGTTTTTTTTTAGAGATATGATTAGTTTTTCGACTGGTTTGATTTCAAAAAATTACAGTTTATTTCATAACTCTGAAATGACCAATTATATATATTTTCGTCTCAATATCTTAGGAAGAAAACAAGAATGCAAGAGGCGACAGATTCCCTTCCAGATGTGCTGAAAGCTGTAAAAGTAGCTGCAGAAGCCCATTCAGAGGTTCTGAAAAAGTGGCAGTCAACATTTGATGACAACGATGATTAAAAGCTTAAACAAGTTATAAAGAAATAAAAGCCTGTGTTTTGTTGTGAATGATGAACATCAAATAAATCCTAAAAGAATTACATATTATACTTAATACYCCTATACATTCATTCGCTTCTTTTTCGTTATTTTGTTTTGTTTTTTGTTCAGCAAGTGGAACGAACTACTAGCCTTTACTAGCCAGACGCTTTTGTTGCACGATGATTCTGCAAGCCTGTGAGAGTTGTCCTATTAATCTAAAATATCTAAATTATGCAAATGTTTTACTTTGAGCTTCGCCTAAATTACGAAACCAAGACCCAAACAAACAAACAAAATGAACCTTGTCGAGTACAAATATTCTTTTTTTATAGCTCGAACAAGTCGTTCTAGCTATATCTCGTAATTCTAAACACAAGAAGAAAGATGCGGATTATATGCAAATGTAATGATAGTGTCACTCACTAATTAGTTCCAAAGTATGTCAAACTAAGAATTAAGTGAAATCTCTTTAATCGAATGGTACGGCATATGTTGTGCCAGTGCCGCTAAAACGGACAGCTCTTTTGCTTTCCCAATAAAGGATTTTTTATCTGCATACAAAGCTTATTGTCTGTGTTCAGCCAGGTTTGTCTTCGCTGTCCTGCCTGGTAATTTCGGCGTAAAAATCGGCCTAAAATTTGTGTAACACTTGCAAAACCTTTCATTTAATAGTACAGAAAAACCAAATGAAAGTTGTGATAAATAAAAGAGAAAATTTTTATAAAAACACTTCACTTACTTGAACTTTGAACAATCAACCATGAATAGTCGAGTCTCCCACCACGAGGTTCCAAGGCCGTAATCGGTTGTCATTCCCTTCGGCAATAATCGGAGTACAGCGAGATTTTGTTGTTCAAGCGTTGATTGGTTCCGAAGTTTGTTGATTGTTTCGTATCGAATTGTTTATTATTGATGATGATTGCTGATTGGTTCCGAAGTTAATCACAGTGCCTCGAAACCCTTTCGACTAATTCCGAACGTTTGCCGAATCACACTCACTCTTACGGACGGACACAACTCGATGACATAGTGGCTTCGCCTCTTCGAGGCAGCAGCCACAAAAATGTTCTTCATATGGCAAAGAAATGATTTAAATGATACTGGGAAGACCAAGGAAAAATGCTGTCGTGGTTTGCTACGTTTGTCATGTGTATATACTTATTTCAATGAAGTTAGTCACCAAAAACCTAGAAAGCTGTGATCGCTGAGAATCATGGGAAATGTTTTATATCCAACAAGTGAAGCTTTTGACACAAACTGCAGCAGTTGAGGATGCTCTGAGGAGGTGAAACTGTAACTGGTAGAAGATCTCAAGTCCATCAACAGTTATGAAGCGGTTGAAACAAGTAAAATGTATYTACCTATAATCCTTGTCGGTCTCAGCTTTGTAGCTATTCAGGTGACTAACTTTATTGAAATAAGTGTATGCAAAATATAACAGACGAGATGGATTCACGAAAACAAAAGCTGAGTGAAGATTGTTCATATGGCTGTGATGAGGAACTCGACGTCTACTTTTCGAAAGAAATGTAAGCTCAAAGTAAAGATAGTTGGTGGAGCAAGTCAAGAAGAAAAACTGGACAAAAGTACTAGGACAATTACTTTTGAAGAGAAAGCTGCTGCTTATCTTTTTGATCGCTTGTAAAATGAATTTATACGACTTCAAAAACATTGGAGAAAAAATCGAGTTTAATGAACAAAGGCTTCTTTGAAATTGAAATTGTCAGTTGAACTTTTGTTATCAACAGACAACAGAATTGGATTTGCTTTAAAAATGTAAGTAAGATCTTTAAATAGACTCGGCCTGTTTAGTGTTCTTTGGGGGGGGGAGGGGGGGGGATGCGAAATAAATTGTGGACTCATAAGCTTAAGTTTAAAAAACAAAGATAAATTTTATGAAGTTGTATGTTGTCGACAGCTTTTTATTCGGGCTTCCGCAGGAACCCGAGTCTAAAAATGCAGGTCGTTCTTTTTCGTCGTATTTCGTCGCCAAAATGGGGGTCATAGTCCCAGGCGTTCCTAGCTGAGTCGCTTGGAACTGGGGATGAGAATCATAACCGAATGCTAATCAATGCTAATCTAAACCCTGCTTTCTTCGTTCCTTCTGCTTCGGTTCATGGGATTATAAAGTTGTTGCGTGAAGAAATCTTTGGAAAGTGCTATGCCTTATATGATCATCCCACATACACACGCACTCGCCATTCGTAGTAGGCTCACACTAAAAGATGTARAGCTTTTTCGGAACAGGTCGGTCCACGAATCTTATAGCTTGAAAGCGTTGAAATCTTTGAAAACATGTAAGCTTACTAGCCAAATTCATAATAGTTCTCAAAAGGTAACAAATGAGCTATATTCGAGCACAAACCTCGAAAGGACTGCCAAAACTATGACTAGTGACTCAACAGAAACTATGACGCTGAAATGAACACCTCAGATATTGAAATAACAGAAAATATCCTTGAGCAGAATCTCGAAGGTGAAGCAAACAACAATTAACAAGCAAATCGCCATATTGGATAAAGAATATAGTAAGGGAAGCAACTTGAAAAGTAAATATCTAAGTTTAACTTTCTTGTTAAATATCCTGATTCATTTTTTTGTTTTTGCAGTATTCAATAGTCGTAAAATACGATTTGATTTTGCACRAATAACCATTTGTGTTTATATCGTACAAGCGATTGTGAACATTGGTTTGTATTACGTATGGAGTCGCACGTGCTTAGTAGAAGACGTGGTAAATACTCATGGTGTCTGTAACATACTAGAAAAAGTTATCCATTCTACAAATGTGCAAGAACATAATGATGTTTTAGTGTCAATAAAGGTACAATAATTCAGATCTCGTTATGCAAAGTATGTATTTCATAATTGTCATGTTGAATGTGATAGTCATGGCTCTAGACGCGATCATGAGCAAAGCAGGGTACCAGTGAACCTACGGTGGCCGAGAGCGGATATAAAAAAAGGCAAAATCAAAAATGTCAAAAGTTCAAAAGTCAAAGTGATTTAGGACCATATTACAAAGTGAGTTTGTCTTTTTGATCAATTTCCTCTTGTTATTTTGTCACAAGACATTTTGACATTTCGTCTCGAGCGACTTTGTCGTCCAGCATTTTGTCATGAAAGACTTTCGCTTTTGACATTTCTCCGTTTGGCCTCCGACATTTTGTTTTCAGGCGATTTGTCAAACGACCAAAAGCAAAACAGCGAAAAGTCAAACTTAGATTGAAAGCTCCCAGGCGTTCCTCTTAATAAACAAAGGTAACCCACGCTATATAGTTCGCGTATACGAGCAATGATCATTCATAACAAATGCACACCAAATGTACAAAATTAAAGAGGGCTATTTTGAATCTCACCTTTTTTAATCTATAAAAATATTGGGGATTTCTTTTTGCAAGAGAATAAAACTTCTCCAGACATTTTTCATCATCCGGCATCAATTGGATATATTCGAGCATAGTTATTAAGAAATACTCTCAATTAAAATAAATCTAAACTTTCCATTGGACTTCAAGGCATTAAGGATGATTATCAATATTTTATAGACATCGAACATTAATATTTTAACAGCAACGCAAAGTTAAGTGTATGGACTGGTATGGTTCTGTCAAATGAGCGACTTGCATGATAGATTTCATAGAGTCCTCTCCCATTGTCAACTATCAAGTTAAAACAAATAATATTTGAAATAAAGTTACAAAAACATGTAGGAAATTAAATATCATAATATGGTTGTTTACAAATTTCTTGATCAATGTACATCTTTGTGTTTTGGCAGATGAATGATCTTTCGAGTTCTGTCAAAGCTCGTATACGCGAACTATATAGCGTGGGTTGTTTATAAGAGGAACGCCTGGGAACTTTCAATCTGAGTTTGACTTTTCGCTGTTTTGCTTTTGGTCTTTTGACAAATCGCCTGAAAACAAAATGTCGGAGGCTTTGACTTTTGAACTTTTGATATTTTTGACTTTGCCTTTTTTTATGTGAACAGATTAAAACGTGTCTTTCAGAAAAACACGCTATGTATGAAGAAATTTAAGTAAAAACACGCCTAAGTCATCGAAAGTTCATTGTCTTATTAAAAATATTGCAACGAAAAAGAGAAGTATACAGTACAAACCAGGTAACAGATTTGTACAAAAAATGAGAAGGAAACCAATATTTAGAAGAGGAAAAGTTAACTCTTCAATGAGATATGTTTACAAGTCCAGTACAGATAAATATAGGAATAAATATCTCAAATACATAAGGTGGTTTTCGTGTAATTACCCATATAGTGAGTATAAGGGTTGAGATCATAAAAGCAACTGTGCAAATTACAAGCTTTTTAATGATATAGAGAAAAACCCAGATCCTGTCACCCACCATGTTGATGCTAGTAAAACAGTAAGTGCAGCATATAGTCAAAGGGATGTTGTTATATTTGGAGAAAATGCCGGGCAACAATGTGTTGCAATGAGTTTATAGAAAATTAGATTTAAAACATCAAAAAGCACACATCTTTTTAAACCTCATTATCCTTTAATAAGGAAATATGAAAAAGATATTCACAATGTTTGACAAAATTGGAAAAACAGGGAGAAAAGGGAGATAAGTTAAGTAGATGGTTCAAGCGTTCAAGAAGCGCGTAAGAATTTGCTTGAAAAAAACCAATAAATATTGTTCTCTTAACGTTTATTTTTCAAAAGTAATGTTTATATTTTCGATGGCACAAGAAGTAAACAACCCGGAAAAAATGCTGCGATTGCTGCTTTGAGAAGAGTGAAAAACTTTCTGAAAAAAATATGATGACGTGAGCATTTTAGATACTCTCATCTAAA